GGGCTCTGTGTCCACGCAGGCAGTCACCTGGGCCGGGGGCTGGGGACCAACTGCTGCCGAGCCGCGTGTCTGTGCTTCAGGAGCAGCGGAGGATCCTGTCACCAGCGATGAATCCCGTCTTCAGGGTTGGAGATTGGTTTAAGCATCTCTTTTCTTAAAAGAAAAAGAAAAATGCTGGTTGCACTAGCTTTAAACGTGGGTCAGGTGAAACGCCAACTCAAAACAGATTTTTTATTTTATCCTGGGTTTTTGGAAATACAGACTTAACCCCAGAGTTAATCCTGACAAAGACTAAAGGTTTATAAACTGGCAGATAAAATTCCAAGATAAAGGCGTCAGCTCCCCTAGCAGAACCAAGTGGCAATTGGACAAGACTGCATTGGGCATTTTACAAATCGCATTTAATAATGAATGTTTGGTATGCTTTGATGATCAATTCTCTACTTGAGGAAGGAATTTCCCAGAATAAAACTTTGCATATCCTCTGCCTTACCAAGTGCACTGGGCATACAGGAGTAATGGCCTGGACGCCTCCTGAAATCACCCAACCGACTTCAGTCTAGGCTGTGGCACTCCAAGAGTTAACCATAATGGAGACATCAAGTGCATTCTGCCCAGCTGTCACACGCCCTTACCTGCAGGCAGATGGGCAAGGAAGCGAGCTACTACCAGTGTTACTAAAATCTTAGTGACACTGGAGTTCACCTGGTGCTTGCACACACTTTATCATATTTGACACTCAAAACAACCCGGGGGTAAGACAGGTTTTGATATTTATTATATTCATTGCACACAGGAGGAAAATGAGAACCTGAAAGAAGTTAAGTGACTTACCCAAGGTCACTCAAGTAAGTAGTAACTAGCAGGACCAACCCAATTTGGAGGATTGTGCAAGAATGTTGGAAAATGTTTACAATTAGTTGAACTTTTAAAAAGTGAAAGTGGGGGTATAGCTCAGTGCTAGAGTATTTGCATGTTTAAGGGCCTAGGTTTAATACCCAGTTTAAAACAAAGAAGAAAAAAAAAGTGGAACATGAACATAAATTTTATTTATAATTATATAAAATATATATAATACAAATATATAAGCCAACAGAGAGAGAGCACATATTTGAGCAAAGACTAGAAGTAAGTGCACTAAAATAGGCATTAGGATGAAGATATACTTTCCTTCAATTTCTTTTAGCACATTATATATTTATCACAATTTTTTTTAAAGGTACTTAAGTGAAAATCTGGAGCTTAGGCATAATCCATAACCAGGATGCTGTTCTTATTACAAAATTAATCTTTTTCTCAGTCACTAAAGAATGTATTAAATGCCAGTCCCCAGCCCCTGAATTAAGTATTGGAGATTTAAAGGTGAGAGCAATCATAGTCCATACATTCAGGAAGTTTACAAACTAGTTTGGAAACACTAATTAATCAAATAATTAAACATGTAAAAATTGCTGAATGTAGAAAGTACTGAAGTCTTTCTAGACCATTGGAGAAGGGGAGATAACTATAGAACTGAGACTGGAAATATAAGTTAGAGTTTGCCAGGACAACAAGACTGACAAGGAGTTCCAAGCAGGATTGCACGTGCAAAGCTGAATTACTAGAGAGCTGGGGGATTTGAAAGTAAAGCCACATAGCTAAATGGGGTGCTTTTATGGTATGTCAGGAAATGAGACTAGACCACTAAATAGACATTGGGTTTAATAATGAAGAGCTCTTTAAGCCAAGCTTAGAGTTTTAGATATCAACCTATTGACAATGTAGACATTGAAGATATTTGCATATGGTAGAGAAATCTGGGAAAGGAATGGTCAGGACAACAGCACTGACACTCAAAAAGATATGGTTTTGAAAAACATGAGATCAAAACAGTAGAACTTGGTAAACTATCACAACTATACTTCCAAATCAATACATATAAATCTATCAACAGAGAAGAGAGAATCTAGGATGAATTTCCAGGTTTCTAAGTACCTCAGTATAATGGGAGTTTCATTTTAATAAGAAAAGAAATGCATAAGAAGCATTTTTAAAGAGAGGGAGTAATAAATTACACAGTGGGTCTTTAATATGGGAGACATTTGTATGGCATTCAATTGGAAATACACAGCAGAAAGATCTGGTACAGAAGTTAGGACATGCCAGGCATGGTGGAACACACCTGTAATCCCAGCAACTCAGAAGGTTGAGGCAGGAGGATGGCAAGCTCAAGGCCAGGATCAGCAACTTTGTAAGATCCTGTCTCAAAATAAAAAATAAAAAAAGTCTGGGGATATGGCTCAGTGGTTAAGCAGCCCTAGATTCAACTCCTAGTACCAAAAGAAGAAGAACAAGAACAAAACAAGAAATTAGGATTCAGCAGAGGAATGGGGGAAACAATCATGAACAGTGATTGTGGAACTTATATATCACAGGGGACAGCTTATAGAATACTCAATAGTTACTACCAAAATTTCCTGTGAAGTGGCAGAAAGGCATCTTATTTAAGAAAAAGGAAGTAAGGAAAACTTTCCTCATTCAGGTGAAGTCACCTTTGGGGCTATTTGTGGGCTGAGGGTAAAATTCTAGATGAAGGGATCAGTGATAAAATGTTTTCCTAGCATGTGTGAGGCCCTGGATTCAGTCCTCAACAATGAAAAAAAAATCTGGCTAGAACCATAACTAGAAATATGAGCCAAGACAGAATTTATGTGGTATAAAATATTTAGAGGCAATCAGAAGAAAAGCTAGAAAAAGAGACCAAAAAGAGGCAGGTAGAAAATAGCTGAAAGTACTACCACAAAAGAAGGTGTAAAGTCACCCAGGCATGGTGCCTGGCACACACTTGTAATCCCAGTGGCTGAGGACTGGAGGATCAAGGGTTCAAAGCCAGGGCTGGGGCTGGGCGCTTGCCTAGCACATGTGAGGCCCTGGGTTCAATCCTCAGCACCACATAAAAATAAATAAATAAAGATATTGTGCCCAACTACAATGTATTAAAAAAAAGAGAGAGAGTTCAAAGCCAGCCTAAGCAACAATGAGGTGCTAAGCCACTCAGTGAGACCCTGTCTCTAAATAAAATACAAAATAGGGCTGTGGATGTGCCCCTGAGTTTAATCCCCAGAACCAAAAAAAGAAAGAAAGAAAGTATAGTCAACAATGACAAATACAATGTTTTGTAACAAAGCTCTGAAAAAGAATGTTGGGACTTAAAACTGACCAAAAGGTCACTGACAGGTCTAGAGATATAGCTCAGTTGGTAGAGTGCCTACCTAGCATTCACAAGGCCCTGGATTCAGTCCCTGGTACCACCACCACCACCAAAAAAAAAAGTCACTGAGGTGACCCATACATTTTGCCAACACTTTGGGAAAGAAATTTGGAAATAAAATATACAAACTTTCCAAACTAGAAAATAGAAATCTCTAACAATTTATCCATAAAAGCAAAAGTTTATAGAGGTGTGTACACAGATATTTATTATAACATTATATGTAATAGAAAAAATTAGTTTTCCAAAAAAAACAGTTTTATGATTCAGCCTTATCAAAAAAGAAAACCAAATACCCTTCAAGGAGGAATAGTTTAATAAACAAGTATATGTCTTCCTCCCAACCCTCAACCCCAGTACTAGGAACTGAACTCAGAGGTCCTCTATCACTAAGCCACACACCCATCCCTTTTTATTTTATTTGTGACAGGGTCTAGCTAAGTTGCCCAGGTTGGCCTCAAACTTGCAATCCTCCTGTTTCAGCCTCCCAAATCACTGAGATTATAGGTGTGTGCCACTGCATCTGCATAAGAGGCCACAATGTTATGTCCTTATTATGGAATATCATATGACTGCCAAAAAGAATGGTAGATTAATATGTATGAATTTTTAAATATAGCAGTCATATATTGTTAACTGAAGAGCAAGTTACAGAATAGTGTGTCTGCATGATGGAATTTTTTACTTAGAAGAAAAAGAATGAAGGGGAAGAGAGAAAGAGAGAACTCATATGTAGTTGTATACATGTCAGTTTTGGATTTGGCTAGACAAAGTACAAAGTAGGGGCAGTAAACATGAGTGGACAGAGAGCGGTGTACTTAAAAAGGGTGGAAGAGACTTAATTTTACTTTAGACATTTTTATTATTATTTGAGCTACTAGGAGGAACATTCTTACTCTTTTAATTCAAATAGCTACTTTTTAGAAATCACTAATAAACTTGGAACAAAATAGTCATTGGTGACTTTGGCCAAAGTAGTTTCAACAGCATTATGAGAGCCAAATCAAGTGTGCAATGAATTGAGAAATGAAGGGGAAACAGG